TAAGGACTTGTGTCGTTAAAGTTTCGTCGGAACGAAGTTACGGAAAGTTAATTAACAAACGGAGACGTAACAATATAAAAAACACCATGTTTCTACTTTGGCTAAATATTCATTTGCCTAATAAATAAAATGAGTTATAATTGTCCATTGGTTAGTTACAAAGCTTTTGAGTAACTGTGTGGTCATAGATACAACACTTAAGGCCTATACATTGTCATAAACATGCACAGGAAAATATAGAGTAATACTGAACTATCTAGCATAAAACATTTGGAAAATTGTACAAACTATTGTGGCAACAGGTATCTAACAAGTGAACATATATTTTACTATTTCTAAACATTCAACGGTACATAATCACATATAGTTTGAGATATCCAGTATCCCATATACCACTGTGCATGTGCTTGGTGTTCAGGTGTTAGACATTAGCCACTGTTAGTGATGCATTACTGTTTTTACATGAACTTAGTAGTTCTGAAATAATGTGAACTTGAAAATTAACCATTTTTTGATACAATATGTAAAAAAGTCTGTGTTACATTTGAAAATGCTGATTTCTGAAAAGCACGTGTTTAAGAAAATTTCTTAAAGAGAACATCACAACTTCTGATATTATATTTACATTCATAATTTACCAGATAGATTGTATATTTGTACTAATTTTTTGTACTTCTGCTTTCACAGTATATACTTAAAGTGCAACATTGCTGTTTAAGTCATATAATGGCAATGATACTGTAATTTCAAAGTTGTATAAAAATTATAAAGTAAGTAAAAGAACTTGCCTAATGGGCAAATTGTAATGATAAAACTTGTTGCCCTTGATATAAATTTTATTGTCTAGGGGGTGTCAGGCAACTTTAATTGGCCAACCCTGTTCAATTAACCTGTAATCAACTGATGTGTAACAGATGATCTTTTAATTCAACATCTAAGATTCCCTAGAATTAACAACCAAAGTATATGTAACAAACCCAGACTATCCCCATAAAAATGTACATTTAATAAACTGTTTGGATTACACACATATACATAATATGTTGGTCTATCTAGGCTGTCCCATCCACTAAACCAAACTTTAAAATGAAAATCAAACTTAAAACCAGCTGTTATTCAAATATTTATGAAGCCTTCCCTTAAACTCTCTCAAATTAACTCCATCCACCACATCTGAAGGAAACCCATTCAAAAATGCCAATCACCCTGTTAAAAAGATAAAGCTGTCTTAACTGAAAATAACTCGTACCCTGCCAGAATTTGTATTTGTGTCAATTTGCCCAATCATTCTCACCATTAAGTATAAAAAAGATGAAGCATCAACACTATCAATCCCTTAACAATCTTAAATACCTCAATCAGATCCCCTTTAACTTTTCTTCCTTCAAGAAAAAACAATTTCAGAGATCTTAACCTATCCTTATTTGACAACCCTTCAATCCCAGATATCATCCAAATAGCCCTCCTCTAAACCCTTTACAATAATTCAATGTCCTTCCAAGGTAAGGCACCCATGACTGAACATAATACTCCAAATGTGGCCTAACACAAAGTAAGTGATTAATCAAAATTATGAATAATTCTATTAATGTACCAAAAATAATCAACTAATCGAAATTGGTGTTTCTGATTATTATTGTTTTGAAACATTTCAACTACCCAAGTAATAGAAATATTTCCATTATGATTTCTCTTTATAATCTATGATTAATTCAAGGTTGTTCATATTAATCAATTAATGTCACAATTCACAAAAATAATCAACTAATCCAAATTAGAACTTCTAACCATTGCTATTTTTGATTCTTCAAAATATCAAAGTATCTTGTGAATAATCAATTAGTTGAATGAAAAAAATTAACGAGTACAACAATGAATCAATTAGTAAACTCTACTAATCACTCAGCTATAAAGTAAATGTATACTCTAATACATATTTCAAATGTTATAACTATATAATGAGAATATATCTTTCTTTACAAAATTTCATCATGAAACAGGGTAAGAAAATAAACATTAGCATACTTGTTGGCCACTACTTTTCTCTAAACGATCCATCATTTCTTCAAACTGTAGAGGTGTAACTTCCATTTTCTTAGCTTGTTGTGTCAGCCACCTTTCATCTTCTGAATCCATATCATAGTCAGGAATATCATGATCAACTGCAAAGGCTGCAGGAGAAAGAAGAAAATTGAAGTGATAAAATAATAAACATTGCTGAAATAGTCTCAAATGTTTCTGGTAATGAACTTATTCCTCCAATGGCTAGATGGAAAAAAGAAGCTTAAAACCACCAAAGAAATGTTAGCAACAAGAAACCCAGAACATTATATGGAACAAACTGTACACAAAGTGAGAGCAAAGTTTGAACATAACATGCATAACAAAATACTAAATTTTTAAAGTAAATTGAGTCTTAAAATAAGCACTCACCTATCACACTAAATTGTACTGTACCCAGTTTGTAGATATCAATTTTTTTGGCTCTCAATAAAGTTGAAAACATTCCAGTAGTGGCTTTGTTTCCATTTATAAGGTTTGTAGAATGATGTCATGTTTTCTTACAACAACTAGTAATCAATAAGGATGGTCCATCTAGATAACCCATAATTCCCTAGTATATTTTAGTACCAGATTCAAGCAACCAATAGAGAAACATCTGTGAATAGCAGAAGCTGAGAAGAGGGCTCAACTCCTGTCCATTTATCAACAAATGTTAACAAGAGTGAATGGATGAACTGAGACAAAATGATTGAGAGGATCACTATGTACAATCCATTATAAAGAAACTACGAAAGAAAAAACAGACACACACTTTATAGATAAATTTCAGTCTATAAGACTTTTCAACCTGCAGTTTATGTCCTCATGTACTAATTGTGAAACAAGAAAACAGACATGAACCATCAAGCAAGTGGTGAAAAGTCAAATCTAAGCAAGGCAACGCAACTGTTAAGAATCTCACAACATTAGTCAAAACAAGAGGGGCTGACATTAGATAAAACAAATACAGTAAACCCCCACAAGAGGAAAACATAATGCCAGGAAACAAGATGCAGGCACTTGAAAGTAAGCATCCTGAATGGATAAGCTGCCTATCCATAGATCTGGTTTCAGGAATTGTATAAGTTCTTATGTATCCTCCATTTTGAAACAGCACAGTCTCAGGTAACAAATGAGGTTTGACGATACCAACTACTTGGTCTGTCCACTCCAGTGACATACAGATGATTGGTTAGCAGATGACAGGACACTTAATTCACTATCTGAATTAGGTCCTCCCCCATTTATAAGGGTCTCCTGTCAACATATCAGACAGTATGATATGGCCAAGTTAACTATGCAACAAACTAAGGAGTTAGTATCTAAGGCACCCCAATTCTGAGTAATGGAGAAGAAGAAACCTCCTGGATTGTGAAATCAACTTATTCAAGGTAACTCCTATCACAAGAAACATGACCAAAAATCATGGAAGGACTGGCTAAGAAAATGGGGGAAGGGGGAACCAAGAAATGGGTCAAATAAAATTCCCAGGGAAAGAAAGGTCAACATACAGGGGGATGTGATTGGCCCCTGTAGAAAAAAACCCAAAGGATAAATGTCACAGAAAAGTTAAAGAAACTCTGCTATCTTTGTCAAAAATTGGGATTCATTGTTCACTTAGTTCAATGGGAAAAAAATGACACATCCAACCTACAGAGGCTCCACTTCTAAGGTTAGCTCATTATAATTTCAGAAAATATAAAACACAAGATGATATACCCACCTTTTGTCCGAGTTATGAACTTAAAAAAATGTGGGTGGATGCTTTGATAAATAACACAGAAATCCTAACTTTCACACAATTTATTTATAACATAACATATTATTACAGTTTTTATTATTACCTCACCAAACATTTTGTATAAGCTTTAAGAACTCAATATGTACATATGTAAAATGTGATATACAGTGTGCAATGGTCAGGGTGACTTTGTATTGAGAAGTAGCAGCCAAATTAGTGGCAGTAGAGGTGCTTTCTGTTACCCGCTTTCAACACCAAACTCTTAATGTCCTTCCACAGTGTTTCACATGATTATTTAATTGACAGTCATTGGCCACAGAAGTACACTGTGCCCACTTCAACTGTACCATCAGACATAAACGAACTGATACAATCTGTGGGAGGAGGGCACAAATGGTATAGCCATATGAGGGTGTGACTGGCACTATACTGACAGTGTCACCACCATCCCATTTCTGATTGCACTGGCACTTATTTTTCTAGTCCTAGCAGTTAGGTCTCAGTTGGTGAAGATTCTACATGGTCCACCACTCTAGGGACTAGAAACTGGCAAGGGTGTCCCATGCTCCATTCAAAGAGAAAAAAGAGGAAGGAATTTGCAGAAAAGGGACCCAGAGAAAATGCCCAGATCCCTGTCAGTCCTTCAGTCTTTTATTGTAGACAGTACAATGGGTGACCATGTAATCCTATTTTGAAAAGCTAGCAGGCTGAACCGAATGAAGCAGGCAGAACACTCCTGGTGCTCGCTTTTTCTATGATAGTCCATGGAATAGGTATAGTCTGGATCAGCCAATAGCCAGATATATAGATATACCATGAGGATAACCCAAGTAATCTTGCAGAATGCCTGATCTCCCAGGGGATGGATCTAGGGCAAATGGTATGAGCACCTTCATTTAACTTGGCTCAATGTGGACTTTGGGAAATAAGTGTACCCTTGGAGGTACCATCAGCCATCTGATGGGATCTTATAAGCAAATGCTGTAAAAAAGAAAAAGGGAAATTTACTCACCAGTCTAGAGATGGAGGGTAGAGTGTAAAATGGCAAATGGAACCAAGCAGTAATATTTAGATGAGACAACCAGATGGCGAAGACAGGGGTCAACAAAAGTGTGAGGAATAGTCCACATGCCTGCCTGCAGGATCTTGTTCAGCAGCCATTGGAAATTAATGGTGTAGGAATGAGTGAGGCATCAAATCTGATGGAATGAAATGTGGAACAGTCTGCAAGTACCAACCCCCAATGAGTCAGACCCAACCTGTAAGAGTAGAAAGAGAAATTTCCCTGGAGGAAGATGAATACCAGGGAATTAAGAGTTGGAGACAGGAGTTTAGAATGTGTGACGTACGAGATACTTAGCCACAAACTACATAAATAGGGCATAATTGTCTGTCCAAGTCTGATCAATTGTAGATGTGGGAAATGGAGAGAAAGAACAACCCCCTCATGAGCATCCGAAGTCTTAGGGAGGCAGGACCAGTTAGGAGAGATAAAAATATAAAAGTGATGGAAGAGGGTATGGGAAGAATCAATGGCATAAATATCTGAATGACAGTGACCACATTGACCAGAGGAAATTAAGTTCCTTAGATCTTGAAAGTCTGATTAAATTAAAAAAGAAAAATATGAGTGCAAATGCATATAGGAAATTTGTGTGAAATGAGGTGTGTCACCCTCCTATTGGAAGAGGGCTTTTGCTACATAATGATGTCATTATTCTGTAGCACAAATCACATTAAATTCTCATGAGATTAGGTTGGAGTTCACTAAGGACTATTAGAATGCAAATTCCTAAGGCTTGCTGTGTGAAGAGAAGAGGTGTAGTATTGTCTTGGAAATATAAGGTTTATATGGCAACATGGGCTGGTGGGAGGACTGCTATTAACACATTACTGTATTATGGTGCAGTTCATTTTCATAAAAAGGAAGGGGCAATCCCATAATATGTCAATTGATACCCACTTTCTTCCCTGTTCCACATCTGTTTCCAATACTTAACATATACGCGCGCGTGTGTGTATAAGTGTACACTAAAGACACACAAAATTCATGTACTTACGCTGCATATGTCTAAGTTGTCTTGAAACCTTATAGTCTGCTGGATACAATGATTGATATAGTTCTTCATCTGTAGTAAATACCTCTGGTGTTGGAATAACCAATTCTCCTGTATGTCCAAAAGCTTGTTGAGCTGATATTGCCCTCTGTAAGTGATGTTCCTAATGATAATAAAAACAAATCCTACAATTCAACAGAATGATTAAAAAAGGGAGGTCATTTGAAAACAAAAGTGAAGAATAATAATTTCATATTTGGGTTACAATAACCTTTTTAAAAATTATCTTTTTAACACTTCTTAATGGATAAGTTCACAGAAATTTTCATATTAAAATACAAGCATAAGTTAAGAATTTGTATGACATACATTGATGATAAACATTTTTTTGATATTCAGTCGGTTCACAAAAAAAAAAGAGTTTTCAAAAAATAACAAATGAAAGGAAGTGTAATTGTGTTGAAGTGTATTAACCCTATCTGCCCAGTCATCATTTACTGCACATGTCACGAGGTTTTAGTGACTTACATTCAAATTTTAATTAAACTATTTTTTGTTATGTTATACATATTAGTATAGCATAAAATCACAGTTAATAATCCATATCTTAATAGTATATGACTTTTAAGTTCTTAATTTTGTAAGGCAATATGTAAAAAAATCCTGAATTTCCCCTAGTGTGAGAAATGTGACATATAATTTTGGTAGGCATCTCCTCTTTTCTATTTTATTCACCACCCCTCCAATAAGTATGAAATTTAATATAAATTACTCACTTTACAATCGTCATTGCTCAGAAAAACCATAGCTTCAATTTCGTTTGGTTACAGTGCCATCAAATGGAGAATCATACCCCCCTCTTGCCATACCCACCTGACACATTCTCTCTTTCAGGATTTGTTAATAATTCTCTATTACATTTAATTCTATATTATGTATAACTATTAGAAAGCCAAGGTTTTCATCTATCAAATGATGTATTATATTACATTGTTTTCTGTACACAGAATTGTCAATTTCTCTGTTAGTACAAGCTATGTTCCCACGTGAAAGATAACAACTAACTTGGTTGAATTTGTAATGGCTCATGTTGCACAGTTAGAAAGCCAGAAAAATTGTTTGCATTTTTCATGTTATTATTCTCTGTTCTTTGGTGCATTATATAATTAAATAAAAATTATTTAGTGCATTACTACCATTGGTATATAAAAAAAAAAAGTAGGGTTAAGTATCATTGACAGTTGACGACAAAAAAAAAAAAGAAAATCCGGATAAGTTCTATATTTCTTGTTTTTCATGTTTATTCTTTATTTATTATTACAATAGTAACTGCAATGTAAAAATAGGGAACTATTTAGGTAAGTTAAGGTTAGATTAGGTAAAATAATTAATAATAATAATAATAATATAATAAAAATGTTTCACAAGGCATGCACGCAAGCCACACATTCCCCAAGTGATTTGCAACTTATAATGGCACAAATAGTTAGATATGGTTCAAAGGATAATAAAATAATAAAATTTATGTATAAATAGATGTATACTGTTATGAGTTTAAAGCTACTTAGAATAAAGGAATGTAGTTTCCTGTTACAATCTGAAGGTATTCTAGAAAGAAGAAAAGGGTAATTTAGATTTATATAGATTTTATTTTTGGTGGTTATGATATCAGTCAAATTGGCCAACCTTGTATTAGAGTTAGGGTAGGGAAAATAACAGATAAAATATGAAAATTTAATGAAAACAAATGTTTGAAATGTATTTTGGAGATTTTAGGGATTACGCAAACAAAATTTGAAAATTTTGAGATGAAGAAAAGTATTTTTGATCTTAACATGAAAATCACTTTGCACTTGGACTAGTACAAAAATACTCAATATATTCACAGACAACTCGTTTTTAGTTTATTAAAAATACTTCACTAAAAAAATTATTTTTTGTATGTGAAAGACATAATGTTTATTGAAAGGCAGCCAAATTTTGTGAAGATATACATACTATATTAAAAGTTAGTAGTATCAAAACTATAAAGACTTTAAACAAGTACAAAAAGGTTACTTTGTTGGTCAAATTGACCGAGCCCATGTTGAGAGAGTTAAAGAATGTACTGAAGACAGTCGAGGAAGAATTATATGCTTAAATGATGTACAACTAGGAAGAGGAGCAGTACAGTACATATCAGTAGCGAGTAATGACAAGTCACTGAAGTGAGTATTTTGAAAATAGTTTATGAACAAAAACAGTAAAGAGAAAAAACTAGAGAAGAAAGAAAATAACATAAAGTAGATATAGGATACATTCACTACAGGAAAATACAATGACAGAATACAGAAGATAAAGAATAGAAGAAAAATAAATCAATGTGAAAGATAATTACAGAAGTAAGAAGGCACTATATATGAAGACATAATATATTCTGGTTAAATAAAAGAAAATTACAGATAACTGAAAATTACATGGAGAAAAAGATTGGAAGGAAAAAAGATATAATTTTCCTACACTGAAAATGTATTTCCAATAAGTACTTACCTCCTCTCACTTAAATAACTATTCTCATTCAGTGCTGCCCTCTATATGGAAAAGTTTTTTGAATGCCACAAGCCTTGAATCTCCCACCCATATTTGGGTCAATTGATACTAATGCGTCTCACATGCAAATCCTCCACCAATAAGAATGTGACACACTATCTTGGCACATATGACTCCCTCTATTCAATTCTACGAAACTATCACTTTGAATTTGGGCAGAAAATGGAAGTACCAGTTTTCTGTGGGGAGGAAGGGTGGGAAGTGTGAGAGAAGGTAAGTACCTATCAGAAATACACTTTCAGTATAGGAAAATTATAAATTCCAACAGAGTGCCAAAAAGAGTAGATCCTCGTAGTAAGAGGTCATATGTGGGAGACTGTACTACTTCTGAACCAGGTATACTCTTCGGTAATTGTGAAAAGATGTCACATATATGAGCAGAAAACAAAGGAGCACATCCAATTGGGAGAGAACTGTGGCTGGCAAGTGATTGGAACCATACAATATTCATGAAACTCAATCCCACAAAGTATAAAAGTGGGTAAAATGAAAAGGTTGTGCTCCTAGGTGTAGAGTGTTTTGGGTGCGACTGACTGTACACAGCAAGGCAGCTACAGTCCAAAACCCAGCCATCTGGGGCACATGTGAATATGATAAATTGATAGATCCATCGGGAACTTGACATCTGGTATCGAAAAGTCGTCTACATAATGTAAACCATCTCCCTCAAAAGTGAAATTGACTGGCACCACCCCAAGTGCATTAACATCCTCGGAATAAGAAACATCAGGGAATAGCAGAAGGGAAAGAACCATAACAATCCACAATTACCTCCACAGTGACCCACAACACTGATGGAGTATAAATGAAGGAGGAATATAGACATCTGTAATACATATATGAGGACTTATGTCAATTGGTTCAACTCTAAATCCAAAACCTGGCCACTGGAAACCGACATTCATATAGGGGTAAGATGAGGGATCCAAAGGGAAGGAGTGAACTACAATTTTGACATCTCACTCCCATTGATTTTATGTTTCATATTGAAGGATATTATGCCATCTACATCACCAGAACACCACTACCCTACTCTTAACTGAATGGTTTTATAATCATTTCTATATTTTGTTTGTATTTCATTAACCAATTCCGGAGCATGCCTTCATGGTCCACCACTCCAGTGGCTTGGAACTGGAAAGTGGTAAGAACTCTCAAACTCCACTAAAAGAAAAGGGGGTAAAATGTGTTGGAGAGTCCGGAGGAACGACAAAATCTGAGACAGTGCAACAAGTGATCACGAAACCCTATTTGTAAAAGCAGACTGCAGACAATACCAATTTATTCAATACAAGGCATGTCAGGGATGGGATGGGCAACTATCCCCTTCTGCTTTACCCATTATAATATGCAAGTTGACATGGCTTGACAGTGTGGATTTGAACAGTTAAAGAAGACCTGGTCTGGTAACACTTGCCACAGAGCAGGATCCAAACAATGAACATTAATAAAAGAAAAATGGGCCCCTGTAAAGGAAAAATAATAAGAAAAACTTACCCAGTCAAAGTCTTACTGAATTCTTATATTCTAAATAGATACAGGTGGAACATGATAACCGGAAGAGGAAGAAATCCCTGATCCAATGCAAACAGTGAGAGACGAATGTATTATGGGTAGTCCACATTCCCGATTGAAGAATTACCTCCAATGGATGATGAAGATGAAATGCCAATGAAAAAGTAAGGTGTCAAATTGGGTGAGAAGACACTTGGAACAAATTATGGGAAAAAGATGAGAAAGAGGAAGAAGCCAATCAAATGAAGAGCTGAACCCAATTGGCAAAGGAAGAAAGATGAAGAACACGAACAGAGGATGGTTGCCAAGGGAGAAAGAGGTGGGAATAGACACCACAGAAGGAAGCCACGCAGGCAATATAATAGAGAAGAGCACGTATAGGACATAGAAGTCTATCCAAATAAGGACGAGGATAAAAGTGTGAAACAGAAGGAAGGGAAAGCAGTTAAATGGAGGAATTATCCTCACAAGCTGCCAATGTGTAGAAGATATGTAGAAGAATAAAGAGTATGTGAAACATTGAGGCAAATAAACAGATCACCAACGTCCACTGGCAAATAGGAGATGGAAGGAAGGCATAAGAAAAGGTGAAACAAGAAGCATTGGGAGAATTAATCAAACGTAGGAAAAGTAAGGCAGTGCAGAACCACATTAATATCCCCATCCTGAAGAGCAACTCACTGAAGCGGATGACAAATCTGGAAGGAAGGAACGCATTCACAGGGAAAGTGTTGGGGAGGTAAATACCTGCAAGATTGGGAAAAATGAAAGGTGTGGGGTAGGACAGAGGAGACAGAAGACCCCTGATACAAATGTCAAGAGAGGAAATCTGCATGATGAAGAACAGTGGGTTGACCATGGGAAAACCCTGGACCAAGAAACCAACAGTGGAAAAATTCTGTTTGCATTGAGAAACTTCCATGTAGGAAGGACAAATGAAACAAGCCAGAAAAGAGGCTAACCGTCACGAGAAGCCAGATCACCTCACCAATGATCAGATGTAAACCAGGCATGAAGATGAGGGACAGGAAGGTCTGGATGAAACATTGGAGATGGATG